ATGCCAGCGGGGGTCCCGACACGAGAGACCCCGCCTGCGTCGTGTTGCTCTTGGTGTCACGACGATCAGCGATTTCACGGCTATGACCCTTGACTGTTCGATTTCAGGTGGCCTGGCAGGGTCCAGGCAAACTGTGGCGCGTGGAGAAGTCAAGGCTCTTTGGTTAGGTTTGTATTGTTGTAGTGGAGTTACGCATGATGCGACGGACAACGAGAATGTGTATCGGGGTTGGATCAATCGTGTCTTTTCGAACCCCACTGGTGTTGACGCTGACATATGGGCGGGGATCGGCCGTATCATGTCCGATCTCAGTTGCGACGACATCACCGTGTCATTCATTCACTCCCGCCAAGAGGCGGGAGCAATGGTCGAGAACCCTACTATTGCATGGAAGATGTTAGGCAATGCCGCCGCGGACGAATTGGTCCGACTCGCGGCCCTGGAAGTTCGACTGGATGCATCTGTGAGATCTAGATTGTTGCAGCTGGAACGTGATGTATTTCTTATTCGCCATCGGCTACTTCGAGCTGCCTTCGATTGTGGCCGTGCAGGAGCTAGTAAGCAAGGTGAGCACGGCGAGGTGGAAGGCACGCGTCTCTCTTCCTCCCCTGTTGTGCCTCCTGCCCCGTGCATCGCTTTAAACTTTTCGACCTCCCACGTTTTGGGGGAGTGCGGCCGTCGTTGTTCTAGGTGCTTCGGAAGTGCTTCGTTGGAGACCGCGAGCCTCTGGGATGCCAGCCCGCGTTTCGCCCCCCAGTGAATCTCAATGGTTCGTTTCATATCCTCGGGGCTGACAATGACGTTCGCATTGGGGGAGGCTGGGTCTATAAGGGCCATAGCATGATTCTGCGCATTAAGCTAGGCCTTTGGTTACGTGGAGCTTGCGGCAGTTATGTCAGCAAGAGCGCCTCCAAATTACACAATAACTGCGATTCGAAAGCCACGCCTACGGGAGCTCAGTATTTAAGGCGCATACGTTTAGGGCTACCACCCAAGGCCTTCAGCAACGCCGAAAGGGAGGCCCGACAGGGGCCCGTTGGGAAGTCCCCCTCCCTGATGTAAGGCGGTTTTCTTTTTCTTTTTTGTTCACTTAGTGAACTAATTTGCTCTTGCGTTTGCCCTCGACAAACACGACTGCATACCGCGGCCGCCAGGCCCCGATTTGTCCCGAGAGTCCCCGATCGCCCCTGGGATTCCCGCCTCGCGCCCTCGACAAACATGACTGCATGCCGCGGCCGCCAGACCCCGAGTTGTCCCGAGAGACCCCGATCGTCCCTGGGAGTCCCGCCCCGCGCCTTCGACAAACACGAAAAAAAACAGCAATGCACAACATAACAGACACAACATAACATAGTACAACCATGACAGCTACATCGCAATATAACAACACGAAACACATCATGGCATATAATTGCAGACCGTAGCACGACATAACACACCGTAGCATAACATGACTAAGCATACCATAGCACTCATTGGCGGAACATGACATACCATGACACAGCGTTCAGAACATGTCATAACACACCAACAGAGCATAGCGACGAACACGGCAGGACACAGCATGCCACAATATAGTACAATATAATTACCCTGGCGACGTACCCAACCCCTGCGCAAAAGCGGGGCGCAAATAGTTTAGGACACTTTATAAAGGGGGCGATGACGGAGCGAGGGTTACATATATCTGCAGACGGAATTCGGGAGACTCGCAGGACACCGGCTACAGGAAAAGGGCTTGATAAAGCTGATGATTTACAATTCCTGAGCACTCCTAGCCACTTCGAAAACGGGGATCACAGCAGGCCTCGAAAGTGGCGACAGTTTCGCAGATCGCAGCCCCGCGGGGATGGCGAGGTCTCATTTGAATCTGCCCGTGGCCCTCACTGTGCTGGGCCCCCCAGCAGGCCTCGAACATGGCGACAGTTTCGCAGATCGCAGCCCCCCAGGGATGGCGAGGTCTAATTTGAATCTGCCCGTGGCCCTCACTGTGCTGGGCCCCCCAGCAGGCTTCGAAAATGGCGACAGTTTCGCAGATCGCAGCCCACCAGGGATGGCGAGGTCTAATTTGAATCCGTGGCGATTGCCCTCACTGTGCCGGGCCCCCCAGCAGGCCTCGAAAATGGCGACAGTTTCGCAGATCGCAGCCCCCCAGGGATGGCGAGGTCTAATTTGAATCAGCGCGTGGCCCTCACTGTGCTGGGGCCCCCAGCAGGCCTCGAAAATGGCGACAGTTTCGCAGATCGCAGCCCCCCAGGGACGGCGAGGTCTAATTTGAATCTGCCCGTGGACCTCACTGTGCTGGGCCCCCCAGCAGGCCTCGAAAATGGCGACAGTTTCGCAGATCGCAGCCCCCCAGGGATGGCGAGGTCTAATTTGAATCTGCCCGTGGCCCTCACTGCGCTGGGCCCCCCAGCAGGCCTCGAAAATGGCGACAGTTTCGCAGATCGCAGCCCCCCAGGGATGGCGAGGTCTAATTTGATTACCCTCTATGAGGACCCCCCAGCAGGCCTCGAAAGTGGCGACAGTTTCACAGATCGCAGCCCCCCAGGGATGGCGAGGTCTAATTTGAACCCGCCGCGATTACCCTCTATGCAGGACCCCCCAGCAGGCCTCGAAAGTGGCGACAGTTTCACAGATCGCAGCCCCCCAGGGATGGCGAGGTCTAATTTGAATCTGCCGCGATGGCCCTCTATGCAGGACCCCCCAGCAGGCCTCGAAAGTGGCGACAGTTTCACAGATCGCAGCCCCCCAGGGATGGCGAGGTCTAATTTGAATCCGCCGCGATTACCCTCTATGCAGGACCCCCCAGCAGGCCTCGAAAGTGGCGACAGTTTCACAGATCGCAGCCCCCCAGGGATGGCGAGGTCTAATTTGAATCCGCCGCGATTACCCTCTATGCAGGACCCCCCAGCAGGCCTCGAAAGTGGCGACAGTTTCACAGATCGCAGCCCCCCGCAGGCAAGACAGAAAGAGGCAGGAAAGAGGCGGGAGGCGGGAGGAGGAAGGACGCGACCACACTGCTCTATTCAAAACGAATACCCAACCAAGGAGGGTTGGGAAAAAAAACACGAGCATTACATAACATGACGGAACCTCATACGACAGTATCATTACAAACCAGATTGTTCCATACCATCACAGACAATGCCCTGGCATAGCATGGCATAATAGCACACCATAGCAGACATACCACGCGATAACATAACATCGCATGACCAAACATGGCAGCACAGTGCATTGAATGGGACAACGTGGCACAGCATAACATCCCATAATAAACATGCCGTACCATAACCTAGAACACCATGACACACTACATCATAATGTATTAACACAAAACATGGCATGGCATAGCATTGCATAACCGAACATAACATAACACACCGTAGCATAACATGACCGATCATAACATGACACACATTGACGGAACATACCATATCACGACACAGCGTTCGGAACATGTCATAACATGCTAATATAGCATAGTGACGGCCACGACATAACACAACACGTAATATTATATTATACCATAACATAGCGCGGCCATGACAGAACATGAGTAATATATTTCCACACCAGGCCATGTCATAACATCATAGACCATGCGACATAACATAACATAGCATGACGGATCATGACAACACAATGTTTAGCATGGAAGAATGCCACAACATAACGTCACATAACAAACCAGAGCAGAACGTCACATATCAGAGAACCACAGGACATCAGAAAGCAAACCAAACCAGAGCACAATATAGCATCACAGAACAAACCAAAACCAGGCCAGACCCCCAGTTGTCCCGAGAATCCCCGAGTCCTTGCCGCCGCCCCGCTGCGGGCGGCCTCCTCGCCTGCGTCCCTCAGTCTAAGGATGGGAGGAGGGAAGAATGAGGAGGGGAAGGAGGCATGGGGCAGGAGGAGGAGGACAGGGGCCCAATGTTTCGGTGGGGATTGCTCGAAGCAAATAATTTTCGCGAGTGCTCGTGTCCAACTGTGGAGCAGTCCGAAACCGTCCCAGACGCCTGCGAGTTCGCCCTGAGACGGCCCAGGAAACTCGCAACACGGACCAAAAGCCGCGAAGCAGCCAGCCAGCCCCTCAGACCTGCCCAACACGATCCAGGGAGCCTCCATGCCAAAACAGCGACCCAAGACGCGCAAGACAGCCTCCAGGCAGCCCAAGATGCCTCCAGGACGCCCCAAGAAACCGCCCGAAATCTGCCCAAGAGGGCCCCCAGGGCCGAAGTCCAAGCATTTCACAATGGTTTTTTGCCAGACTTTCGCGCGTGCGCGTGTCCAGCTCTGGTGTGAGTCGGGCCGGCCCCAGACGACCTCCACTTTGCTCTGACACTGCCCACCCGAGCACGGCCTGAAGACAACCCCAGATGGCTTCCAGAGGACCCCCGAAGCCGCCAACCAGCCCCCCCAAATGCCAAACGCGACGCAGGGATGCGCGTTGGCAAATTGTTGCTGTGCGAGAAATCGTGGCTCCAGAGCGTGGACGAATCGTACTTTCCTTTACAGGGCATCCAGACCTTCGGAGGACGTGCTCGGAGTTTGTGCTCGTTTTCGGGCCACGGGGGAGCGTACACGCGTCTTTGAGAAACGGACTGTTTCTGACCTTCCGAGACTTGCTTGGTGAGTGGTTTTAGACATGCTGCAGTGCAGTGTTGTTCCCTACCAATAACGGAAGAGGCGGGATTGGGCAGATGGGGAAGGAGGCAGCTAGTCTGTCAAATGTTGTTCGAATGTCATTATCCTCCGTTGTCTGGCGCCTAACCCTGTTCCTTTATTTCCCAGTTGGCTGTCTGTCGGCATCAACTCAGCAAGCGTGCGCACCCGTAAAGACAAGGACAGAAGTTCTTCGGTGGGCATCGCTCGCAACCGAATACGTTTTTTGCAGGGCTACTCGTTTTTGTTCAATGCTGGCGTCAGAACGGATTCAGCCTTCAGAGTGGGCTTGCACTAGAAATCCTCACGCATGCACGTGTCCGCAGGACAGCCTCGCCGACAAGGCGGAGGCCGCGCTGGACTCCGAGCAGAGGCGAGCTCGCGGGGAGCCGGCGCGGAGCGAGCAGCAGCTGAGGGCTGCGGAGGGCTGGAGTCGGCAGCCGCAGGAGACGGAGTCGTTGGCCCGCCTCCCGCCGTCGTCGCAGGCCAGCGTCTCGCAGCGCGCCGCCGGGCCAGCGGCGGCGCTGGACAGCGCGGGGCGAGGCGGCGCGGAGCCCGCGCAGAGCCAGCAGCCCGCGCGGGAGCCGGAGGGCTCGGCGCAGCAGCCGGCGGAGGCGGCGGTCCGGGCCCGCGCCGAGCCTCTACCGCAGGCCAGGCTCTCTGAGCGGCTCGCTGAGCTCGAGGCCGCGCTGGACTCCCTTCAGCGAGCCGGCGCGGAGCCCGCACACGGCCGGCAGCAGCTGCAGGAGGCGGAGGGCTCGAGGCAGCAGCTGCAGGCCATACTACTTGCCGAGCGGCTGGCAGAGGTGGAGGCCGCGCTGGGCCTGGAGCAGGGGCGCGCTGCCGAGGATCCCGCGCGGAGCGAGCAGCTGCTCGAGGACGCGGAAGGCTGGAGCCAGCAGCTGCGGGAGAGCGAGTCGTGGGCCGGCCTGCGTCCCTCGGCGCGGGGCCAGCAGCCTTCGCAGGAGGCGGAGAGCCAGCAGCCTTCGCAGGAGGCGGAGAGCTCCCGGCAGCAGCTGCAGACGATGGAGCGTCTGGCCGGCTCGCAGTCTTCACCGCACGCCAGAGTCTCTGCGCGGGTCGCGGAGTTGGAGGCCGCGCTTGATTCCTTTCGGCAAGCCCGCTCGGAGCGACCTTGGAGCCAGAAGCCTTCGCAGGAGGCGGAGCGCTCGAGGCAGCAGCTACAGGACAGCATCGCCGAGCGGCTGGCCAAGGCGGAGGCCGCGCTGGACTCCGAGCAGAGGCGAGCTCGCGGGGAGCCGGCGCGGAGCGAGCAGCAGCTGAGGGATGCGGAGGGCTGGAGTCGGCAGCCGCAGGAGACGGAGTCGTTGGCCCGCCTCCCGCCGTCGTCGCAGGCCAGCGTCTCGCAGCGCGCCGCCGGGCCAGCGGCGGCGCTGGACAGCGCGGGGCGAGGCGGCGCGGAGCCCGCGCAGAGCCAGCAGCCCGCGCGGGAGCCGGAGGGCTCGGCGCAGCAGCCGGCGGAGGCGGCGGTCCGGGCCCGCGCCGAGCCTCTACCGCAGGCCAGGCTCTCTGAGCGGCTCGCTGAGCTCAAGGCCGCGCTGGACTCCCTTCAGCGAGCCGGCGCGGAGCCCGCACACGGCCGGCAGCAGCTGCAGGAGGCGGAGGGCTCGAGGCAGCAGCTGCAGGCCATACTACTTGCCGAGCGGCTGGCAGAGGTGGAGGCCGCGCTGGGCCTGGAGCAGGGGCGCGCTGCCGAGGATCCCGCGCGGAGCGAGCAGCTGCTCGAGGACGCGGAAGGCTGGAGCCAGCAGCTGCGGGAGAGCGAGTCGTGGGCCGGCCTGCGTCCCTCGGCGCGGGGCCAGCAGCCTTCGCAGGAGGCGGAGAGCCAGCAGCCTTCGCAGGAGGCGGAGAGCTCCCGGCAGCAGCTGCAGACGATGGAGCGTCTGGCCGGCTCGCAGTCTTCACCGCACGCCAGAGTCTCTGCGCGGGTCGCGGAGTTGGAGGCCGCGCTTGATTCCCTTCGGCAAGCCCGCTCGGAGCGACCTTGGAGCCAGAAGCCTTCGCAGGAGGCGGAGCGCTCGAGGCAGCAGCTACAGGACAGCATCGCCGAGCGGCTGGCCAAGGCGGAGGCCGCGCTGGACTCCGAGCAGAGGCGAGCTCGCGGGGAGCCGGCGCGGAGCGAGCAGCAGCTGAGGGATGCGGAGGGCTGGAGTCGGCAGCCGCAGGAGACGGAGTCGTTGGCCCGCCTCCCGCCGTCGTCGCAGGCCAGCGTCTCGCAGCGCGCCGCCGGGCCAGCGGCGGCGCTGGACAGCGCGGGGCGAGGCGGCGCGGAGCCCGCGCAGAGCCAGCAGCCCGCGCGGGAGCCGGAGGGCTCGGCGCAGCAGCCGGCGGAGGCGGCGGTCCGGGCCCGCGCCGAGCCTCTACCGCAGGCCAGGCTCTCTGAGCGGCTCGCTGAGCTCGAGGCCGCGCTGGACTCCCTTCAGCGAGCCGGCGCGGAGCCCGCACACGGCCGGCAGCAGCTGCAGGAGGCGGAGGGCTCGAGGCAGCAGCTGCAGGCCATACTACTTGCCGAGCGGCTGGCAGAGGTGGAGGCCGCGCTGGGCCTGGAGCAGGGGCGCGCTGCCGAGGATCCCGCGCGGAGCGAGCAGCTGCTCGAGGACGCGGAAGGCTGGAGCCAGCAGCTGCGGGAGAGCGAGTCGTGGGCCGGCCTGCGTCCCTCGGCGCGGGGCCAGCAGCCTTCGCAGGAGGCGGAGAGCCAGCAGCCTTCGCAGGAGGCGGAGAGCTCCCGGCAGCAGCTGCAGACGATGGAGCGTCTGGCCGGCTCGCAGTCTTCACCGCACGCCAGAGTCTCTGCGCGGGTCGCGGAGTTGGAGGCCGCGCTTGATTCCCTTCGGCAAGCCCGCTCGGAGCGACCTTGGAGCCAGAAGCCTTCGCAGGAGGCGGAGCGCTCGAGGCAGCAGCTACAGGACAGCATCGCCGAGCGGCTGGCCAAGGCGGAGGCCGCGCTGGACTCCCTTCAGCGAGCCGGCGCGGAGCCCGCACACGGCCAGCATCAGTTGCAGGAGGTGGAGGACTCGAGGCAGCAGCTGCAGGCCAGTCTTGCCGAGCGACTGGCAGAGGTGGTGATTGTGGTAATGACGACGCTGATGATGATCGACATGATCATGATGACGACGACGATGAGGCGCACGGTCGTCGGAGTCCCCTACTTTCCCGGAGGCCTCTCCACAAACATCTTGGCGACGACGGCAGCGGCGACGACCATATTACGATGATCATGTCCATGATGGTGATGACGGCGGAAAAAAAAGGTTGACTTCCAAGAAATGAACACGTTGTGGGGTTCAGGGTTTCCAGAATCGCCCGCACATCTTACACGCTTGGGAGGCAACAGAAGTCCACTGCTCGGGGTCCACGCTGGCAGGGCATCTCAGATGGTAGGCTTGTTTTCCACCACCACCACCATAAGTAGGAGGGGGAGGGGGTCCTCCTCCTCCCCCTCCTCCTCCTCCTCCTCCTCCTCTTCGTCCTACTCCTCATCCTCCACCTCCTTCCCCTCTCCAACTTCTGGTGGTGGTGGTGGAAAGCAGGCCCATGATCAGAGGTGCGCCCCCTGTCCCCGCGGCCCCCCCGACCTCTCCGTGCGCGCGCGCGCCTGGACCCCCTCGGGGGCAAGAGCTCTGCGTGCTCCCCGCGCCCCCCCCCCCTGCCCAGTCAGGAACGCTGCCCATGATTCGATAGCAGATCATGGACGCCTTGCATGGGACGCACAGAGACATACTGATACTAGATGTCCTCCTCGGCGGCGCGCGTCCGACCCAAACAGATAATATACCCGTCTTGTAGTATACAGCATCGTTTCCCGAGCGGTGTGACCAGAAAGCGCCCGCCACGACGCATATACTGTAAGATTTCTCGGTGCGCGCGGCGCACCTGGGGGGGCGACGCAAATGTAGTATAAGTATGTTTGGTTGACGCCGATTGTATACCCTCGCAAGTCCGACTTCAGCGTCGATGAGTGTCCAGGAGTCGATGAGATAGTGCCGAATTGGCGTCGATTTAGCGTCGATTTCGCGTCGATCGGCGTCGATTTGCAAGGGCCGACAAGATGGTACGGGAGGCTCCGATGAGTTGCCACCGAACCATGAGAGTTGACGGGACGAGGGACGAATAATCACATGCAGTGAACCAAAGAAAGCAACGAGGGTAAACGGAGAGATCTCTTTGGGAGCAAGGGGGTGGCTTTGGAGGGCCTCTTCGGGGACGACAACGACCACGACGACGAGGAAGAGGTGGACAAGAAAAAGGAAGACGATGAGGGCAACGACGAGGAGGAGGAGGAGGAGGAGGAGAAGGAGGAGGAGGAGGATGATGAGGAGGAGGAGGAGGAGGAGGAGGAGGAGGACGTTTCCAGGACGTTTCCGTGACGACTTTGTCGAGTGGGGCCACAGCGCCGCCGCTCTCGCCCGCTCTCTCAGGGCGGCAGCGCGGCGGCGGCGTCGGCGGCGGCGGCGGAGCCGCGTCCCCGCGGGCCGGCGAGCCCGCAGCAAGGCCCCGCGCCAGTGGGCGCGACGGGCCTCGCCTGCGGCGGCCCCTGGCTCGGCCCCGCGCCAGTGGGCGCGACGGGCCAAGCAGGCCGCCGCGGGGGACGCCGCACTCCCGCAGGCGGCGGGGGCGGCGGCGGCGGGCTCGCCAGCAGCTGGCGCAGCTGCGCGAGCTCCAGCGTCGGTGGCGCCGCCTCTCTCCGCCAGGCAGCTCTGGCCGGGCTGGGCCTCCTCGCGTCCTCCAGTGCGTTCGCCCGCGGTGCCTCCAGCTCCTCCTTCGCTGTCTGCAGGCGTCGCTGGCTCTCTTGCTCCTTCAGGCGCAGGTGCTGCTGGTGCCCGTCTTGCTCCGTCAGCTGGCTGGTGTCGGTGTCTGGCTGGTCGCTCTGTGCCGCGTCCAGGAGTCTGGCGGCTCTCTCCTCTGTCACCTGCTCGCTCAGCGGTGGCTTTCTCGTCCGTGCCGTCGAGCCGTCTGTCCTGTCCTCGGCGGCCGTCCCTCTCTGCGCGGTGCTCGTCGCCGCTGCCTCTCTCCTCCTCGCGTTGCCTCCGCGGCTGGACGGATCCCGCCCATTATCCCTCGCGGGGGGGCCTCTGGCCACACCTGGGGCTTTCAGAGGTGGGCGGGGGTCCTGTCCGTGGCGGCCCTCCTCGTCCTCTGCTGGCCTCAGCGCTCGCTTCTCATTATCCCTCTTTGAGGGGCCCCTGGCCACACCTGGGGCTTTCAGAGGTGGGAGGGGGTCCGCGCGCTGGGGCACCAGGTCGCCGTCGTGCTCCGCGGGGGTGTTGCCGAGGGGCTCCGCTTCGCTCCATACCGAACCTGCCGTGCTCGATCTCCACTCCTCTAAGTCGGCCAGCTTGGTCCAGTTCTTGAGTAGGTATCTTCTTGACTCGCATGTTGGGTGCAGGCGGCATGGGGCTTGCATCTTGTCGGATACGAGCTCTGTCGCCGAGCTCGCGCATAACGTGCAGAACCACCTTCGTTGCCTGCCTAGCCACCGTAGCGGGTGAGTCGGGTGCGATACGCTGCCGTGGAACTCTATGCACCGTCTTTCTGCT